GCAAAGATGCTCAGGATTTCACGGCGTCAGGCAGCGTGGCTGCTGGGGAAGGCGGCGATAGAGAAGTTTTTACAGACTTTTTTTTAATCTTTTCTGTTCACGAAGAGACGATGCGGCGGAAAGGAGGTAGGGGAGGCGCTCGCGGCACCCGGGTTTTAATTTATACAGGTCTGACAGCGAGGACAATGCCCAAGATGGACTGCATGTGGCAGGGGCTAAGGCTCAGCCTTTGTCCCACCTCCGTGTCCCTTTTGTTTCTCCACCTATTTTCGTTTTGTTTCCCCCCCCCCCCTTCTCCTTTCTTTTTAATCCCTTCTTCTGTGTCCCCTCTCCAGCCCTCTTCCCTTCCCCCTCCAGTCTTGACTTGCAAGAGCCGCTGTCACGGGCCAAGAGCCTCTTTTGATTCATCCCTCCGAGCCCCATTAAGGAGCTCTTGAAGTTGAGATCGCTCCCGGGAAAGGCCGATCCCGACGCTTGAAGATCCCCTCCCCTCTCCAACATCCACGTGCACGATCCGATTTTTTTTTTTTAATATATATATATATTTAAATTTTTTTTTTCCTTGCTGGAATGAAACTCAAGAGCCCACTTGAGCCCAGAGTCGCACACAAGAGCCTGGAGGAGGATGCTCGGAGCCGTGTTTGCCTCCGCTCCCGTCACCCCTCGTCGGGAAATCGAGGGGCAGGACATGGCGTTCCTGGGATGGAGGTGGGCTCGGTGCCCGCTGCCCACGCAGGGAACGACCCCGGGGGAAGGCTCTGGCTTGTCCCAACAGCTCAGCTATCGCTGGTTCTGTGGTGCTGTAGGTTGTAGGTTTTTTTTTTTCTTTTCAAATACTCTCTCAGAAAGTAATTAAATGGCAGAAATAAGCTGTGAGGTGTGACGGTCACCAGTGCGGCGTGTGTTGGGAAGTTGTCTCTACCCATGTGTACAGCCTGGAGTGGTTTGGGGACAACCCATCCTTGAGTTGGCAGTAATTTGGATTTTAATTGCTGCTGATGAGTAACGACGTTCACCCATTCACCCGCATCCCTTTCTGTGGTGCCGAGATGAGTCTGGTTTTGAGGTGTTGCTGCCCAGAGGGTGATGTCTGGCTTAATTTATCTTAAAAAAGATCAATCTCAAACTGCAGGGCTCCATCTGTGACTCAGTTTCCCCTTGAAACCCTCAAAAAATCCTGCTACCACTGCAGGAGGGATCCGGGCTATGCACTTGGGTGCCCTTGCAAAATGGGGAGAAATCCAGTGGGATTGGGG